TTGGCCACCACAGCCACGCTACTTTTCCACTTGAAAGAATGGCAGGACAGCCACAGAGAAAGCAAGATGCATGCAGAGCATGAAGTCTTGCTTGCCTTTCTTCTGGTGCTCTGCCTCAAAAAGAATGGATTTTTGTCGTAAATCCAACCAGGAAAACAGAGAGCCCTGAGGAGGTACGACATGAAGCAGTGCTGCTGTGAGAGCTTTTTGTTTGTTTGTTTGTGTATTTTGCTTAAAGCCAGAAGTGACATTTTGGTCACAAAGACCATCTATCAGAAAAATAAATGAAAGCACTTTTCAACTCTCACCAAAAAGACAGTTTGTTCTGAATCACTTACATATTGATCAGATGTTGAAACTTTAATGCCGTATTTGGAAACTCCCATAATAAACTCCTCTTCACCTGGAACAAAAGGTAACTTTCCATCTTGCTTTGGAGGGAAACAAACAAAAGCCTTTAGTGCAGACAGAACGTGAACAGCGAAGATACATAACAGAAAGTGTGTCTATGTGCACTCCACTCCACTGGATCAAAACCATCACTAACCCTGTTCAGATCTTGCTGTGTGGAGTCTGCCTGCCACTCTTGCACTCACCCCTCTCTTAATGTTATGTGAAATATATTAAGGGGGGGTTCAGACTGGACATGAGGAGGCATTTCTTTACCGAGAGGACTGGAACAGGCTTCCCAGAGAGGTGGTCAATGCCCCAAGCCTGTCAGTGTTTAAGAGGCATTTGGACAATGCCCTTAACAACATGCTTTAACTTGTGGTCAGCCCTGAAATGGTCAGGAAGTTGGACTAGATAATTGCTGTAGGTTCCTTCCAACTTCCAGAAAGGAATTTATCATCTCAGGGGGCAGTGGCCCTGTGGTTAAATCAGATGAGCTGAAAAATAATCCATGCCCTGTCATGCTGCACTGACCCTGGGTGATCTATGTTCCACAGTGGCAGCAATTTCATTATTTGACTGTAAATAGTTTTAGCATCTATTCAGATACTTGAAATGTCAAGTTGCTGTAAGATAAAGAGACATTCTGTGCTTTTAAAGATACAAACCATCAGCTACCTAATGAGAACAACCAGTTATGGCTTTTAGTACAAAAATAAGTACAAGCAACCACAGTTTGGCAAGGATGACCCAAATATTACTCAGGTTCTTTGGTCACAGGTTAATTAGTGATTGCAAACAGAAACTTGACATTTTCCTCTACGGGAAAATTTCTAGAGTACTGAGGAAATCTGGAGGAGATATTCTTTCCCCAATACCAATCCTAACAGTGCTGAAGACAATATAACAACTTTCAGTTCAGTGGGGGGTACTTGTTCGGTAACGACTCCTTAAAATGGCCTTCGCTCTGCGCCTGCTTCTTCCGAGCGGCTTCTTGGGTGCATCTTCCCCAGTACTCAATAGGATGGAACTGAGTGTGACAGCTTTTGAGATTCATAGCTCAATGGTTTTTAAAGTAAGCTACTTTATTCTAGTAAGTCTAAAATTTACAAAGAAATACATCAGATCACGTGATAATACGAAAGAAATACACCTAAGCTTAAGATGTTCTGACGTTGTTAGCATTGCCTTTTGTAACCCACTTACCTGTGCAACATCTATGTAATTTATCAAGTCCAACGGCCCTTCAAGACTTTTGCTCTCACTATGTTTCAATTTTTCAATGGCTCCAACATATTTAACTCTGAATTCTGCACATGTATCAGAATTACTATTGCTTTGTCCTGCAACAAAATAAAACAAAGCAATTCTGAAGAATTCCAGAACAGTGATGCTACTCTAATAGGTGTTAACAAGGCTAACTTATTAAATTCCAGACTTTCACCAAACACTTAACCTTACCACAGTATATTAATTTCTCTCTTTAATTTCTCTCTGTTGATTCAGAACAGCCTTTGGTAAAGGCAACAGTTTCATAGGAATCCAGGATACAGCACTGTTTATACTAATTCAAATTTGGAGTTAACAACTTTGAATAAGAAAATGCACAAAAGCTTGTCCTCCTTTCCTATCTATTTTGCTTTAAATGAACTGTTTGGTCCAACAGTCATGCACTGTAGTCTGGTGAGCAAGAACAAGTAAAATCAAATCTTATTTCCATTATTTCAGCGCAAATTTAAACTTATAAAAGCAGGAAACATAGCTTCCAAAAAGTTATACCAGATTTATAATGTGTAACAGACTTGTAACGCAACTAGCTTCTTCTTACTCAGACATTTTACTTCAAAACCAGCGACTTAATCCTAGAAGAATCATTAATAATGCTTTAGAAGCCTAGAGATACGCATTCATTAGTCAACAGGCTAACAGATTCACTCACAATTGTTAAAAACACATATTTTACCTTTTCAATTTTCTGCTCTTTTATACAAACACACATCAGGTTAATCCTGCTCCAGACAGATCTGCTTAAACTGCGATTACATACCTGAACTTTTAGTGGAGTCTGTATCTAGACTAGCCACAGTACTAGACCTGGAAAGTCCCCCAAGACTGGAATCTACAGACTAAGAAAGAAATTAGTATCATCAGAAAGTTACTGAGAACATATTAACAATTCACTTTCAGATGCCCTGCCTCAACTCTTTTTTTAAAATAAACTAGTGTTTAAGTTCTAATTACTTAAGCAGCACTGCAAAATGAGGAGAAAAAAAAAACACCACCACCTATTTCTTTCCTGAAGTTATCTTTCTGCCTCAATGTAGATTAGACTGATATAAATTCAGCAGGGACCCTTAAGAAGTCCACAAGTATTCTGAAAGAAGGAGGAAATAAAAGAAAAAGAGAAAATGAACCTTAAGGTTATGTCCAGACTTTTCTGGTACTGCATCTTAACTTGAAGAAATTGACAACTACATGCTTGTCACCAATGCTTGAAATAACATAGCAGTGCAAGGGAACTGAAACGGCACCTTGGAAAATCCAGAATATTCAACTGATCATTCCAAAACCTATCAGACAAAATGGACACATTATTCAAAATAAAGAATACTTTTTAGAGATACTGAGTAACCAACTAGCACTGAAGAATAAACTTATTCTTGGTACCTAGCACCAGGCACCTTCTTAAAGACAGTATTTATCACTACAGAACACATGTACCACTTTTTCCTCCAGACCTTACTATGTGCTGCCAGGAACTCTTGGCTTTTTTGGCTTCACTACGCAAACAACTGAGCATTCATCTCGGAATACAAGGGCATTATAACAGATAGGTTTTTTAACTCTCACAATACAATCTGAGAAATAGTAAAAGCAGAAAGTTCTCCCTGTGGAACATGGCATTCTATCAAAATCACATCCTACCACCAGTGCAACTGAACTGTCCACTTGTAACAAAAGAAAGTGTTCCACAAACAGAGTGTACGCCCACTTCAGCTTACCTTGCTTTTAGTACTGATTTCACTGCTCTGAGAGCTGCTGCTGCTGTGCCGTTTTTTAACTTTTCTAAACATTTTTTCATAGTTGGATCAAGGAAGATCTTCTAGGTAGGAAAAATAAAAATGAAAGCTGTCATATCCTCAAGGGAAGGAGTTCCTGGCAAACACCACACTGACTGTGTCCAAAGTGGGCAAAAACTGGAAACTTGTGAAGTACTTTGAGGAAGGAAGTAGGAATGTTCCTCTGGTGCCCTTTACGTGTGACTGGGGAATGTCCCTCAAGCTCTCTGCTAAAACTTCCCCATCCTTCTGATTCATCAAAAGAACGCCGCTGCCTAGTTTATAGACTGTTGCAAAGACCAGTTTCTAATGCATATAGAGAAAAGGATTTGGAAACAAGACAAAATTTAAAATTTATATTCCCAGTTAAAAGCATTATATTAGTTTTATTTGTAACTACAAACTAAGTGCCCTGCAAAGCGCATCCAATGCAATCCCTACTCCAAAGATTATGCTCCCATAAAAACAAAAACACACAAACCACCAACTAAAAAAACAAACCCAAACAACCCTACTGGTGAAGAACTACTGACTGTAGCACTTCTAGGAGTGAGCAACCATTACTACTTACCATGTTCCTGAAAACTAAAGCAAGCAGCAGGTTACCTTCACTGCCTTAGAACTGAGCTATGGGAGATCCCAGAGTATTCCAGAAGCGTTTCCCTGTATCTGCCCCTACTACTTCCATTGCTTCACTCAACATGTGGCCAGCCGGCGTCCAGGGGCAGGATGCTGGCTCCCAGTCAGGGAGAGCTGAAACCCTGCTCCCCAGTTTCAGGGAAGGATGTTTTAATTACAGAGCTTCAGGAATTTTGCTCAGGTGGAAGGAAGAGGCCGAAGGAGGAAGCCAGCCTGCTGAAGAGAGCTCACACTGCAGAAATCAAGGGAGGGTGCCCCGGGAGGAGCTCAGACCTGCGAGGCAGCGCTGGGTCTCAGGCCCCAGGCCGCTGCTGTGTCTGTCACTAAGCAGACACTCGGTCTGTGGCGGGG